CTTGTTCTATATTTATTCTACACTTTAATTGTTAAAATTCTCATTATTGTCTTGTTACTAGAAATTCCCTCAAGTTTCTTATCTTTTAAGTTAATTAGCGACAAATAGTCTAATATTAAATCATACTCGTTTCCCCAAGTGTTCGACATCCGTTCTTACCATTGCTATATTACAAATTCAATTAGGTACACTTGCCTAAGTCGATAGTAAATTCTAGTATCGGTAATTTCAACCTTATAAATTTAAAACTAGTGAAATTTACACATCTGCCCCATACCATCATAAGTGACAATGGCAAACTATTCGCCGAAAATCCCTTCAAGAAGTGGTGCCAGGAAAAGGGGATTCAGAAGAATTTCACCTCGGTAGCTCATCCACAAGCCAACGGCCAAGTAGAGGTGACGAATCGAACTCTAGTTAAAGGAATTAAGAAAAGGCTGGGGAAAGCCAAAGGAAATTGGGCTGATGAGTTACAACATGTATTATGGGCATATCGAACCACAGTACGGGAACCAACCAAAGAAACTCCTTTCCGCTTGGTGTATGGGATGGAAACGGTCATTCCCATAGAAGTCATGATTCGAACTACCCAAACCTACAATCCACAAGCACGGTCGACCACAGTTAACCTCCGGACAAATCTGGACCTGTTAGAGGAGAAGCGAGAAGAAGCTGCCATAAGACAAGCCAATTATAACGCATTAATGGAGAGATACTATAACGCCCAAGTAAAAAAGGCATCGTGTAAGGTAGGAGATTTGGTTATACGCAAGAACGAAGCAAGCAGACAAGAGCCCGTTGGAAAACTGGGTCCAAACTGGGAAGGTCCATATCAAGTGATCGAAGTGCGACAAAGTGGAGCTTATATTTTGAAGACATTGGAAGGGATCCGCTTGCCAAGAACATAGAACATGTGTAATCTCTGCAAATTCCACTTTTGAAAGAAATATGTAAGACAATCAGGGGAAAAGGAATCAAGTGACAACGACATTTTAGAACTCAAAACCTTTTTGTTCTTTTTTGATGTAATTCGATTACTTGTTCTAAAACGATATCTTTCATTCCTTTCAACCTTACCGACTACGAATAGTTAAGTATAAAACGATATGTTCCCACTTCTCGAACCTTAGGTTCAAACCTAATGGTTCGAGCAACTTATAAACTTCGCCATCATCCTCCATATTATGGCTCGATGTTCTTATTACTCGAACCTTAGGTTCAAACCTAATGGTTCGAGCAACTTATAAACATCGCCAGAATCCTCCACATTATGGCTCGATGTTCCCATTACTCGAACCTTAGATTCAAACCTAATGGTTCGAGCAACTTACCAACATCGCCGTAATCCTCCATATTATGGCTCGATGTTCCTATCACTCGAACCTTAGGTGCAAACCTAATGGTTCGAGCAACTTATAAACATCGCCATAATCCTCCACATTATGGCTCGATGTTCTCATTACTCGAACCTTAGGTTCAAACCTAATGGTTCGAGAAACTTACCAACATCGCCATAATCCTCCATATTATGGCTCGATGTTCCTAGTACTCGAACCTTAGGTTCAAACCTAATGGTTCGAGCAACTTATAAACATCGCAATAATCCTCCATATTATGGGTCGATGTTCCTATTACTCGAACCTTAGGTTCAAACCTAATGGTTCGAGTAACTTACCAACATCGCCATAATCCTCCATATTACGGCTCAATGTTCCTATTACTCGAACCTTAGGTTCAAACCTAATGGTTCGAGCAACTTACAAACATCGCCATAATCCTCTATATTATGGCTCGATGCTCCTATTACTCGAACCTTAGGTTCAAACCTAATGGTTCGAGCAACTTATAAACATCGCCATAATCCTCCATATTATGGATCGATGTTCCTATTACTCGAACCTTACGTTCAAACCTAATGGTTCGAGCAACTTATAAGCATCGCCATAACCCTCCATATTATGGCTCGATGTTCCTATTACTCGAACCTTAGGTTCAAACCTAACGGTTCGAGCTACTTATAAACATCGTCGTAATCCTCCATATTATGGCTCGATGTTCCTATTACTCGAACCTTAGGTTCAAACCTAATGGTTCGAGCTACTTATAAACATCGTCGTAATCCTCCATATTATGGCTCGATCTTCCTATTACTCAAATCTTAGGTTCAAACCTAATGGTTCTAGCAACTTATAAACATCACCATAATCCTCCATATTATGGCTCAATGTTCCTATTACTCGAACCTTAGGTTCAAACATAATGGTTCGAGCAACTTATAAACATCTCCATAATCCTCCACATTATGACTCGATGTTCCCATTACTCAAACCTTAGGTTCAAACCTCACGGTTCGAGCAACTTATAAACATCTCCATAATCCTCCACATTATGCCTCGTTGTTCTCATTACTCGAACCTCAGGTTCAAACCTAACGGTTCGAACAATTTACAAACATTACCATAACCTTCCAAATTAGGACTCGATGGTCGTATCACCCGAACCCCAAGTTAATTTGAGTCAGCGGGTGAAATATTTTAAAACCTGTTAAAACACTTTAAATCGATACGAAATTAGATGTCAATCGAAACCAATAGAAGAATAATTGAAACCACAAATAACTATTACAACCACAATGGCAAGAAGAGAAAAGGATTCGAACGGATAGAAAAGGATTACATTATCCCTAAACGTCATTACAAGATAAAAAAAACAAAAGAAACATGCCCTATAACATTGGAAAAACAAAAGTGGTGACTTCCAAAAGTCTAGACCATTACGACAATAAACACAACTTCCAACCTTCATCTGCTCCAAAAGAAAACTACCTCTTTCCAACCCCTAGCTCGACCCATCTTCATCTGCTCCAGATGAATCCACAACCTTCAACAATTTCTTCAAACCACCAACATCCATTTCTTCGTTCCCCAAAGCAGATACTAGTGAATACTTGTATGTTGTCATATCAGCAAAACGCTCAATAATTTGACGTTGTGCGTCTGGGTACGAATACAAGACATTCTTACCTTTTAGCTCTTCAGGGTACTTCACTTTCAAGTCCACACAGGCTTGATGGAGCCCAAGCTGGATAGCAGATGTCTGCAGGGCGACATTCACAACACCAAAATCACTTGAATCCAACAAAGCCCGAACAAAGATAGGGATACCTTCCTTTATGACCCACTGTAGTTCCTCTTTCTTTTTACTCATTTCCATCTGGCAACTTGTTGTATTTTGCTCCATCAAAAGTTTTGAATCACTCAATGTGGCAATTCGAGCATCCTTCTCCAACATCAGAAGTTTCGTTGCGGCTAGCTCCTCCTCTATCAACTTAATACTAACATCCTTGCTAGAACATGTGATTTCCAACTAAGAAACCTTCTCTGTATATTGCGAATTTAATGAATGGTATTACTGAGAAACACCCTCGATCTCCTTAACGGTAGAGGCGCGGTGGCTCATGACATCATCTATTTTTAGTTGTAAATCTTGATTCAACTTCTTCAACTCCTCCTGGTGACCAATAGCTTCACTCAAATCCGTCACTAAACTTTGGTTTCTCTCACACAAACCTGCTACCTCTTCCTTCAAACCCTTAGCTTCTTTTTTTGTTTGCTCGTGAAGGGTCTGAAGCTGCTTCAACCCTTCCAAGGCTTCATAAAAATCGATTTGACGCTGAGTAAGTTGCTATGAACGTGCCTTAGTGCGTAAGGACACTTCATTCAGCAAATGAATTCCTTCCATCAAGCAAGACCGAGCCTTATCTAAAGCTTCTTCGTCAGATGCAACCCCCGTTTGAAAAGGGTTATTGGGAACACTTGTAATAGCAAAAGGACGTTGGAACTGGGGAAGTGAAGCAGTTAGAGTAATTAGTGTTGGCATTGTGGCCTCCTTCCCTGTAATGACAATAGCTGCACAGTTAACAAACACGTAAATTGTGACAAGGATATAAAGATCATAGAAAGAAGAAAGCAAATGTTGGCAGGGAAAGAAAATGAACATACAGCCTGATGCAGGGGGGGGATCCAGAATATTAACTTCCATGCCTGCAGATTCGATCCTCATAGGCTCTTCATTCTTAGTCATGGTATCGGAGGGAATGGGAATAGGAGTAATTACTGAAGAGTCGGTAGTCGACGCCATGAAACGACCAAATCCGGGCCCGAAGAGTTTCTGTTGGAACACAACTGCAGCAGACAGACCTTTGGGGTTTTCTTTCTCTAACAGGGGATTTTCAAGGATCTTCTCTTGGAGACCTCCAGTAACGGTCTCTGGTTCTGATTTGTCCAGATGAGACATTTATGCCTCATCCTCCACATGCTTCATTTTGCTGTCCGATTCGATTGAACATTCGTGAAGGACGATAGTAGCAGGACCCTCCGAGGTACGCTCAGAGCTTGCAACATCGGAAGCTATAGGGTCAGATAGATCATTCAAGCTTCAGCTTCTAGATTCACGACCAGAACGTTTTCATTTGGGAGGAGACATTTTGATAAGTTGGTCGACTTGAACACTCTCAGAGCGCTTCTTCAAGATGAGCCCTTTTGAGGTAGTCCTAGTAAACACAGTGGGAGGTTCACCACAATCAACATCCGATTTCACACCCTTCGAATGAGGGTTAGGAGGAATAGGTCTAGAACCCTCTGATTGGGAAACATCTACGGCAGAGTCCATGCTAGACTCTGACCTACTCGGGGAATCCGGCGCCATCACTTCCTCCAGGGTGGTATTTGCAAATCGCTTTCGGCGGAGTCGGTCAAGAAGGGTTACGTTCTTTCCTTCGAACACCTCCACTGGCTTCTTGCCCAAACGGATTCAATGGGGACTCATGCCAGCCATACCCAGTATCACTTCATCAGGGTCCGCCCATCGAAAAAAATTGTCTGATAACCTTTTGTGACGCTCATCTCAGGTATCATTTAATTTCTTCAAGCTTTTAGGGTTTTACACTAAAACTCGACGATTTGGGAGCACCAACTCGTCGTGTAGAGATATTTTTGGGACGTGGGATTTAGGACCTACTCGACGAGTTGGAAGGGCCAACTCGACGGGTAGGCGTTGTAAAGGAAAACCCTAATTTTCAAGGATTTGTACCCTATTTAAGGAACTTATGGACCACTTGTGGCCTCCCTCATCGTCCTAACTGTCCAGAAAGAAACCCTAGTTGTCCCTTCATGAGTGTGTGAGCTTTGGAGAGTGAAATTTGTGCTTTTTGGAAGGAAGTTTGAAGATTAAAGACATTGAAGTGAGGAGAGGGATTTAGATCCGTCATCTACCTGGTGTTAGCATCCTTTTGAAGGTAAAAAGTTGCTAACATGATCTCTATTTGCTTAGATCCCATTTTATGGAAGTATATGGTCACTTTTGGTGCAAAATGGTGTCATACTTGGTTTTGGACGTGTCAAGAGGACATGGTTCCAGATCTATACACCTCTACGTCTTCATGGACAGAAAGTAGCTCACTTTACCTAGTCTAAGCCCTTCTCTATGCCCTAAACCTTGTATGAGACTTGATTTTAGCGTTCTAGCTTCTTGAAGCCTTACATGCACGTAAAGTTTGCAACTTTACGTGGTATTTCAGTCTTTAGGGACTGGATCTGAAGTTTGGGGCTTTGGATTCAACTGGAAGGATAGATTATGTTAGGTCAAGGGAAAAACTCGCGAGTTGCCCTGGCAACTCGACGAGTTGGATGGGGTTTCCCCGCTTTCTAGATACATGAGTGAACTCGACGAGTTGATGAGGCAACTCGGCGAGTTGACTAGGGTTCGTCCCGGTTTTCTGGACACTGAAGGAACTCGACGAGTTGCTAGGTGCACTCGACGAGTTGGGGTCAACATGGACTATTGACCTTAATTGTTGACTTGGACATTGACCAGGGTTGACCAAGTTTGACTTTGAGGGTATTTATGGTATTTCAGGATTTTGACAAGTTAATCACATGATGGTTATAGGCAGTTGAGTTGGAGTTGTGCATTGGGACTTATCTGATCCTACCCTATCAGTTCAGCATTCTTGAGAGGTGAGTCTCCTCACCATGCCAATGGGTCGAAGGCACCAAGGCCGACTCATTTTATGATATGTGGTTGATGTAGTGATATGTGGTATGATAGTTAGTTATATGCTAAGTGGTATGCTAGTTATATATGTGATACTCGCAGGGAGGACCATAGGGGAAGCCCATGGCGCTTGGATGTAATACCAGGTGGGGGAGCCCATGGCTTTGCAAGTAAAGACCATGGTGGGAGCCCATGACACTTGGATGTAAGACCATGTAGGGGAGCCCATGGCTTTCCAGTTAAAGACCATGGGGGAGCCCATGGCACTTAGGTGTAAGACCATGTGGGGGAGCCCATGACATCCTGGAGTAAGACCCTGGGAGGAGCCCACGACATCCTTATATGTTTGTATGCATGGCTTATAAGGTTTATGTAGCTTTTATAGCTAATATGGATTATGTGATTATGTAGATTGTGTGGGGTATGCTCTGGGAAACTCACTAAGCATTAGCTTACAGTTTGTTGATTTGTTTCAGGTACTCCTGAGCCTAGGAGCAAGGACAAGGCTTGATGCCGCGACATGCACTCTCTCTGGCATTTTGTGGGACACTCTAATATTTGAAATAAAAATTGTTGATGTTATGGATTTGAAAACAATTGTTCTTGAGATTTTGTGGTTTATTAGAAATGTTTTGATAATTTAAAAATGAAAATTTGGGTTTTAAAATTGGGTCGTTACAAGTTGTTATCAGAGCCTTGGTTTGAGGGATCCGGGCACACTCTCGGGTGTGTCAGGACTCAAACTAAGGAAATGGTAAAATTATTTTCAAAAAAATAAAAGTTAAAAACTTCTTAAAATGGAAAAAGAGGAGATTTCAATGTTCGTGATCGGCCGAGCCAAGTAAGTAGTTCCCAATATGTTAGCCATGTTATACTGATATTTGAGTTATGATAATCGTATGAATCTTGTTATGTGTATGCTTTCAAAATTATATACGGTTAGGGTCTTATAGCCTCAGAATGATGGACTTGGCCTTATTTCCTGTTCCTTGTTTGGTTGTGGTCTTAGGGTAGAGTCTGTTATTCGAAAGTCTATTTGATCCTGTTCTGTGTATAATTTGCATGCATAAGGCAACCTGCTATGATTGAGTTCTGGCTTGTTATGGTATTGAGCAAATCTTAGGATAGCCTAGGATTTGAGTTACGTAGTAGCCATGAAATATGTTTTTTCTGGGTCGAATTAGAGTTATCAGGTAGAGCGTTGGGGAAGGTACAGGTAGGTGTGGAAGGTAGTATTGGGCCCGTACAAATGGAAGCACCAAACATGTACCCGAACCAATGTTATATCTGGAAGCTCTAAGGAGAATCGGTGTGGAGGGATCCTTTTTTGGATATTTGACCCTTCCGTCTTATGATATTTCATATCAGTATGGTGGTTACACGACATGGAGCGGGGGGATCTGGGTCACGAGAGGCATCCTTGACGCTACCCCAATGATTTTTGGGACGGTCAAGGAAGGGATGATGGAGATTATGGAGGAGAGGCTCAGGGCATTCAGAGTCGAGATTTTTGCGGGCCAGGTCGGGGCCCGAACTCCCTCGTTCCGGGAGTTCAAGGAGTGCGGGGCGCCAGAGTTCTTTGGGGTCAGGGATCCCATAGTTAGTCGACGTTGGGTGGCGGACATAGAGAACGCCCAACGCACGAGTTCTTGCCCTGAGGCGGCAAAGGTGGGTTTTGCTTCTTGTATGTTGCGGGATTGAGCCCGATATTGGTGGGGAGAGGTGACTAGCCAGGTGGGAGAAGCCGGTGTGGCTGAGATGACATGGACAGAGTTCGTCAGGCGTTTCAATTTGGAGTTCGCACCACCTATTGAGGTGCAAAGAATAGTGAGGGAGTTTCATGAGCTCCAGCAGACCACCGAGACTGTGGCGGAGATCACCGCTAAGCTTCGGGAGCGAGCACTCTTGATCCCACAGTACACTACATACGAGGAGATGAGGAGGACGAGGTATCATTCCATGCTGAGGGATGATATCCGGGAGTTTGTGAGCTTTACAGGGTGCAAAACCCTGAATGAGATGGTGGATAAGGCCCGTGAGCGGGAGATGGAGTTGGACTTCCGCACCAAGCTGAAGCCTGAGCAGGCACAGACAGCAGTAGGTCAGGCTAAAAAGCTTAAGACCTTGGATCCTTCCAGTAGGGGCCAGCAGGGTCGTGGCCGGTGTGCCAAGTGCGGCAAACTGCACAGTGGGGCTTGTCGGGTAGCTGGATCAGGATGTTACACATGTGGCCAGCCGGGTCACTTGAGCAGGGATTTCCCCAAGAAGGGCTTGATATGTTTTCACTGCAACCAGACCGGTTATAAGAGTTCCGATTGTCTGAGGTTGCAGGGAGAGGGAGGAGCAATGGTGGTGCCTGCGCCCGCCACAATGAGGATCACAGATAGCCTCCCTGTTAAGGCGGATGTTTCTGTGGTGAAGAGTCGCACACTTCAGTTGACCACCGAAGAGGCTCGGGCAACGCCAGACGTTGTGACGGTACGTATTTTTATCTTCCTGCTCTATATTTATTGCATTGCTTATGTGTACATTGTGCTTATGTATAGGGACCTTTTTGGTCAATGGTATGCCGGCTCACGTTCTATTCGATTCGGGTGCTACCCGATCGTTTGTATCTCTTGCGCTTAGCAAGAAGTTCCAGGATGCACCGGAGATCTTGGATTCCCCGCTTGAGGTTGAGATTGCAGATGACCGCACCATGAGTGTTGTGAGGGTGTATCGGGATTGTGTTCTGAATGTGCATGTGGAGAGGTTTCGTGTGGATCTAGTCCCGATACCGTTACGAGGACTGAAGGTGATCGTCGGGATGGACTGGTTGGGGGCCAATGGGGCCATGATCGATTATGAGCGCTCGTCGGTGAGGGTTCGAACCCCAAGTGGGGGAGAACTGGTTATTCATGGAGAGAGGGCCTTGCACGGTCCAACCCTCTGTTCAGCTGCGAGGGCTAGGAGACTTCTTCAGCAGGGTTGTTCGGGATTTATGGCATATATCTCGGATATGAGAGTTGAGACCATGATGGATTTGGGCAGTACACCGGTTGTACATGAATTCCGGGATGTCTTTCCCGAGGATTTACCTGGAGTGCCTCCGGAGAGGCAGGTGGAGTTTCGCATTGATTTAGTGACGCGTGCCGCTCCGATAGCCAAGGCACCGTACCGACTAGCTCCCCCGAGATGCAGGAGCTATCTACGCAGCTTCAGGAACTGCTAGACTGAGGGTTTGTCCGTTCGAGCAGTTCCCCGTAGGGAGCACCGATCCAGTTCGTGAAAAAGAAGGATGGGTCACATAGGATGTGTATTGATTATCGAGAGCTAAACAAGCTAACGGTGAAAAACCGTTATCCGCTCCCGAGGATCGATGATTTGTTCGATCAATTACAGGGTGCATCTTGGTTTTCAAAGATTGATCTTCGGTCGGGGTACCATCAGATCAGGATTCGGGATGAGGATATATCGAAGACCGCTTTCAGGACCCGTGTGACATCCCCATTTTCACAGACAGAAAAGACCGATTTGTTTATGCTTTATTTTGAAAATCAAATTATCCTTTTAAAGAAAAATGTTGCGGAATTTGTTCCCAGAAAACATGATAAATACGTTATCAAAGCGTTTCTGAAGAAATGTATTTTATTCATTTTAAAACATTGGGATGCCATTGTCAATACATAAACATAAGCATAAACAGACCTTACGTTCATTTACACTAGTGATTCACAACTTCTTTAATCTCTCAGTGTAATATAGCCTCGTATCGAAACCTGTAATACAAATAATCTGAGTGGGTTAGGTTGGGAAACTTGTTGAGCACATAGGGTTTTCAACCCACAATAATATAGTTATTATATTTAAA